CCGTGGCACCATCGAGGTCATCTTCAGGAGATTTATCGGCGCACACGGCCCCAACGTCAAGTCAAGCGTCAGCTCAGCCGACTCTGACTCTTTGAGCGATTACAAGGATGGTCTTACCGGTGTCAAGATGGCTAGCGAGCGCAAGGTCAACGGCAAGACATACAAGGACACCTTCACCGGCAAGGCTGCCACTGACTGGCTGATGGACTGCTGTACAACCGTGGACCGTCGGGAGACGTACGACATTGCGTCTTTGTTCGTGGAGTACGACCTCATTGAACCCGTGGTACAGGATCGGGCACACATGGCACAGTACCCGAGCAACAACCTGTTCCAACCCACCAAGCACTCCGTCTACCAATTGACGGCCAAGGGCAAGGATCTCATTAACGGTATCGGCGTGAGAGGACGGACATCGGAGAGCGAAGCCGCCACGCCGGCTTCTTCTCGCAACGTCATTGCGAGAGACTCCAACACCCAGAGATTGGACAAGATCCTCAACGATGCTGCCCTGCGTCTGCTGTTCAGGGAAAATCTGAGAGAAACGCACTGCGAGGAGAACCTGTCTTTCTACCTGGACGTCGACGACTTCGTCCGCAGCTGCCGACAAGCAATCAGGGTCGCCCAGAAGAACCCGAATGCGAACTCGATGGACGGCATCAAGGAGATCATGGCGCAGGCCTATGGGATTTATAATGCATTCCTCGCCCCCGGATCTCCCTGCGAGTTGAACATTGATCATCAACTTCGCAACAACCTGGCCACTCGCATGACCAAAGCCGTTGGCCAAGACGTCGCCATGATTGATACTCTGCAAGAAGTCATGTCCCTGTTTGAGGATGCGCAAAATGCAGTTTTCAAGTTGATGGCTAGCGTAAGTTTATTCCTTTCCCAACTCAACCCGGCATGTTTGGCTCGATGACTAACCCCACTTTGTTACAGGACTCGGTGCCCAAATTCCTGAGGAGCCCCAAATACGAGCACACTCTGAAGAACTACGACTTTGACTCAGTCGGCGGCCGTGGTGTAGAACGCAGCACGAGCCGATCGAACCGCAAATAAACCATGTTCCGGACTGTCAGTGATGGCCTACACCGCAACGAACCGACTGAGTGACGGCGATATTTTCTGCACATCTCGCATTGCGATTCGAACGATTTGCACGCTTAGAATCTCGCCTCGTCGATGCTGGTTGCGCAGGCCCCCCCGATGGCATTTACGGCACTTTACCCACAAACCATAATCTTGTGCATACATACATGGTGGTCTTTGATTCATTACCAGGCGGTGGGCAGGATCTTTTGCTTTTCTCGGAGAGGCCCGAGCAGGGCCGATCTTCTGCCATCTGGATTCTTTTGGAAATGACGGCGTTGGGGACGGACAATATTCTTAGAAGGAGAGACCCCATGAGTCGGCGAAACTGATTCCGCGGAACATGATCACGTCATCATCATCACATGCGGATTTCACTTTTGTTACCAAATTTTTTTTTCTTTTAATTTTTTTTCATCTTGTCTTGAATCATAGCTGGCTGGCGGGGCGGATGATCATAGAAGGACGGCATGGAAGCACGAATCTCGACCACGATCCGTGAGACGAAGCTACAGGCGACCAACGAACGATTATTGTTGGCGTGAGAGTGGAGGACGAGGCGAAAGGCCCGCCCGGATGCCCTTGGTTGGCACGCCGGGATGTGACAAACACGTGGGAACATGACGAGAAGAGAACGATGAGAGAAAAAGTGAGCGGCTGCTGTGGGACGGACAAACCAAAGGGGAAAAGCAAAATAAGGGAGGAGGAGCGGTCGTCGAGCGGCCTGACTCAACTGTACATATCTCAGCGCTTCCCGACCCGGGTCGGGGAAAGCCGCTCAACTCTTCGACATACCCTGAATGAGAGAAAGCAGATGAAAGTGGTATTCAAGACCGGTCCCTTGGGAATGTGCGTTTGATGAGCTGCGAAGAGCCTCGAATCGGGAAAGGCATGACCGTTTGTTTACTTTGATGCCGTTATGGTTAAAACGTCTCACCGGCGGCCCTCTTGCCCCTGACGTCTGGAATGCGCCACATTTCCGGCGGCCGGTTCTCACATTCTTGGCGCCGCGGCGGCCACAACAAACACGGGACCCGGGAGGTCCACCGACATTCCGGCCCGTCATCTCGCGGGACCCCATTGGATGGAAGGCTTCTGTCTCAGTGTAGGTCGGGCATCGTTCTAATCTCGTTCTGTTCCTCAGTGTCTCTCATCGCTCGAGCTCGTCGGTCAAGGCGCCCCCCTGAACGTGGTTGGAAGCCTGCCAAGGCGTGTGGGGGAGAGGCAGCATAAAGAGAGGCCGACTCTTCAGCTTGACGATGTTCTGTCCTCCTCATCTCACACGCACTCACCAACAGTCGACAACCACAGGCTTTCGTTTGTCTGTCCTCGTTTTCCCTCCCCCTCCCTCCTTTTTGCTTTTCTGGTTTCCATCTGGCCCTAGTCACTCACTTAATAAACCAACCACACTCACTCAAAACCAACTGCAACCCGCAAGGCGCAACTCACACACATCTCCTTACAAGAGTCTTATAATCTTATCGTCGTCCACTCACCACCTCACACAAGCTCGACAGACTCTCACACTCATTTGCCTCGCCTTTTCCGTCCACTCATTTGGCATCGTCATCGAGAAAACGAGATTTAAACAGACAACAACAGGTTCATCAATCAAAATGCAGATCCAATCCGTCCTCGTCACCATCGGCGCCCTCGCCGCCACGGCCGCCGCCAAGCCCAACCACCTCCCCTTCAAGCACAAGGACGGCAGCCTCGCCATCGTCAACGGCACCATCGTCACCCTGACCCGCGTCCACCAGCAGGTCGAGACCTGGTGCCCCGAGCCCACCACCCTGTACTTCAACAACCGCACCTACAAGATCGACAAGCCCACCACCTTCAAGATCCCCGACTGCCCCTGCACCGAGATCTACGTGAGTCTTTCTCTTCTCTTTACTTCTTCGCCTGTTTTCAATGACTTACAAACTCTGGCTTGCTAGACCACCAACTACGACCACGGCTACTACCCCACCGGCGTCGTCCCTCCCGCCCCCGCTCCCCCCGTCGAGACCGGCGTCCCCGGCACCGAGTGCGGCGGCAGCCCCTGCCCGGGCCCCGCGCCTACTGGCCCCGCGGTTCCTCCCCAGGTCCCCGGCCAGTCTGGCGCCCCCGGCCCTGCTCCCAGCGCTCCTGCCGTTCCCGGTGCGCCTGGCACTCCCAGCACTCCCGGCACCCCTGCCACCCCCGGTGGCGAGGGCGGTGATGCTGGCAACGGCGGAAACGGAGGCAACGGCGGCAACGGCGGCAATGGAGGCAACGGCGGCAATGGAGGCAACGGAGGCAACGGAGGCAATGGTGGAAACGGTGGAAACGGAGGCAACGGCGGAAACGGCACTCCCGGTTCCCCTGGCACCCCGGGCACTCCCGGTACCCCCGGCACCCCCGGCGGCTCTGGCGGTGCTGGCAACGGCACCGAGTGCGGCGGCGCCCCCTGCCCCACACACGTCGTCGTCGCCGGCGCCGAGAAGCAGGCCGCCCTCGCCGGCTCCCTGGCCCTCATCGCCGGTGCCGTCGCCGTCTTCGCTCTGTGAACGGGGCAGCCCTCTTCCACACCCACCAATCTTCCCATCCTCCGTTCGTCAAGTTCAATCAACCTTTTTCCACTCCTCACATCAACATCGCCTTCGTTTTCGTGTGTTCTCATGGCCTTGACTGGGAAAACTGAAGAGCGACTCAATTCACAACACAGCAGACATTGATGGAAGCCAACGGTGTCTGACGGGCAGGCAGAGAGGGCTGTGTGGGCATCGAAGCCAGTGTCCCAATGCGCTCCTGCGCCTTCTGTCACCACACCCCCCCTTGCCAACCACCCGTCACACCTTGTTCTCCATCCTCTCGTCGGCTGCCGAATCTCTTCATCCCTCTCGGACATCCCAACGATACGAAACGTGTTCATGTGTGGACGGCGACGAACAAGGAACATTGCTTGACGACACGAAGCGGTGGTTGTCCATCGCCAACATCATCATCATCATCATTCTTATCTGCATTCTGGATTTCCATCTTCACGTCCTGTTTTGTTGTTCCTTATTAATGTCACCCTTTTTTATGACGCCGATATGCCCAGAGATGAGCAGCTATAGACGGGGGGGAACGCGGTTGGTTCCTCAGCAGCAAAAGGGGAGGAAGGAGAAACGTTACTGTTTAGAGAGAGGTGCGTAGAGCAGAGACAGACAGGCGGCCTCGCTGGAACCCGGGAGAAAAACTGGGGGATGGGTGTTGGCCGCAGCAGTGGATGAAAGGGGACGTTTTGTTTTTCCCTTTGTAAAGAATCACCCGCGCGTGTTTCCCAAAGGAGGGGGGAAGGGGGGGCTTTTGCTTCCTGGCTTTGTCTCTTGAGTTTTTTGTTGTTGTTGTCGAGTATTATTTACTACCTATCCTAATACACACACATTTCAAATCAAATACTTGCTTTGTTTGGCGATGACAGCTTTGTTGAGGAAATGCAAATACTTACCCAAGGTCCGATGCTACTACTTACTACCTTTAGTGAAAGGGACTTCCAGACGGCAGGTGGCAGGGATTCGTCTCCCTGAAGAAGTGTTTTTGGTTCAACGACTAGAGTATTCGACTAAAGTACAGTACGAAGCTGGGAAATAGCAAGGTGCTTGTTGGTTGCATCGAGGTCACACTGGCGGTGGGATGCATAACATGCCATTGGACAATCCGACCCCCGGGTTGCCAATCACGGAAAGCTGCTGCGCCGCACCGATGCACACGATCACTTATATGACGTGGTGGATGAAGCGACAGAGAGATGGAGATTGGCCAATAGATTTTGCTAGGTATTTTGGAAGTAAAGGGGGTATCAACTAAGAAACGCACGTAGGCTACATCAAATGACTGGTAACACACATAAAAAAGAAAAGACAGATCAAGGACCGGCTGGAAACGTTGCGACCTGCGGCTCATTCCAGCTCGGCTACAAAGGGTCCTGTCTGTTGCCGTTTTGCGTCACCGCCAGAGAGGCCTGCTGCATAGGGCGACGAGTTCGAGTGCGACAGCGGCTTTACTTCGTACGGATTGGTGGCGAAGTCAGGATAGTCGGAGTGGGCGTAGCAGTTGTTGTTGCTCAAGGCGCCGGGTTGCGACTTTGCCGGCGCTCCCCTGGAGACTTGACGGATGTGGAGTGGTCTTGGATATGCGTTCTGAAATGGGTTCTGGGCACCATCGTTGGGTGGCGGCGGCGGCAAGGATTTGTTATATGATGGCCTAATTGGGAGGTTCATCTGGTTCCCGAGCGTCGCATAGCTCGCGACGGGATGGTTGGGTGCCGGAGGCATCTGTGGTGGGCTGTTGGAACGGTAGTTGGAGACATAAGACCCGTGCAGAGAGTTCTGGCTGTGGTGACGTGCATGCGTGGACGGCAGGTGGTAAGAGTTGAAGGGCGCAGGAGAAGCTTGCTGCTGCTGCTGCTGCATCTTGGACTTGATGCGCTCGACCAATTGGCCATGGCTCTTCTTGAGCGTTTTCTTGACGAAGGACGTGGTAAAGACGTTGCAGCGCATGTCAACGTCTTCGCGCAGGTACAGGCCGGTCAGCGGGGCGCCGATGCCGAGCTCGACGGGTTCGATGGGTTCGCCCGGGAGCGAGCCGGCCACGGTCCACTTATCCCGGATCTCCAGACCCATCGGGGCGTAACAGTGGGTCTGCAGGCCGGTGGGCAGGTCGTGGAAAGCGCAGGTGTAGCTGACGTCGCCCGTGGCCAAACCGCCAGGCAGGTAAGAGATCTCGTCGGTGAGCGAGTACCAGACGCAAGAATGCTCTTCGGGAGGGGCGTGGGCGGGTGGCTTGATAACGTGGCGTTCCTTGATGAGAGGGTTCAGGTCGATCATGTCCAGGTGGTTGTGGAGGAAGTCCAGGACGGCCTCGCGGCTTATGCCGCTGGGCAGGGGAGAGATTGTGGTGAAGGTTGTGCGTTTTGACATGGTGGTCGTGTTGAGGAAGACTCGGACTCGGTGGGAGGTAAGTTTGTTCGGGATCGGACGGCTGGCTAGACCATGCAACAAAACCAAGTTTGGATACCTTACGGTAAGTGTATTGGGGAGGTAGGTACTTTGGAGGGCGGGAGAGGTGGGAGGTGAGTTTAAGGTTGTAAGGTTCGGGTGAACGGCCGCTTTCCTTGGGATGGAACAAGATTTCAGGAGCAGCAAATCTCGAAGGGGATAGTTTGCCAATCGGGAAACTGGAATGGTTATCAATGACGAAACGAGCTGTCAATGTTGCTGCTAGCGAGGTCGGGGGACGGTGAAGCAAGCGTGCGTTTGTGGTTCGGAGGCAGTGCCCAGGTAGGTTGCCTGTAGGATCTACGGCCGGGGGACGGAGGACGGAGGCGCAGAGGGAGGAGCTTCCCCCCGGGTCAGCAGCAAGCCGCGGGGCGTAGCGCTGGTAGTGGCGTCGTCGCGCGGTGAAGCCGATTTAGCCCCCAGTGGAGGTGTCCCTGCCGGAAGCTGAAGAAGCCGGACTGAGAGCCTGGGAAGGGAATCTTAGCACCTGTAGAACGGTAGATAGGTAAGGGTAAGGTAAGGTAAAACGAGAAAGGATTGCTGCCGGGGTGGTGTTGTTTAAACCAAGAAAGACAGGCCGGTCTCTCTTGAAATAGGTTGCAAGGTGGATAGCGAGAAAAGGAGCGCGCAAAGCAAGTTGGAGACAGGGGTGGTGAAAAGGGAATGAAGAGGAAGAGATGCCAGTCTGCCTTAAGTTAGTTTTCGTCGTCGTGCTCGTTTCCGAAGGGGGCCCGTCAGGCGTGCTGTCGAGGAATGACAGGATCGAGTTTACTGGCTCGCTCGGGTGACGCTGAGTGACGCTGGGCGCCGGCGGCCGCCTCCCCTCCCCCCAACCCCAAGGCACCAGCCAGCCAGTTCCAGGTTCCCAGGGCCGCTGCTGCAGGCGTCTGTCCAGGGTTCGGTTAACGTGAATGGATGTCCTTCGTCCGGATTGGTTGTCAAGACGGTGATGCATGGCTCTTTTCCTCTCTCTTGGCTTTTTCCCTTTGGACCTGTCCCGGGCACCTTGATTCCCCGAATGGGTTTGTTTCCTGTGTCTTTCCAAGACGGGGACGGGAACAATAGCAAACTTTGGAGGCTCAACAATGCGATCGGTACGGCACTGCGGCCTCCACAGGCCTTGGTCTTGGTCTTGGTCTTGGGCGGTCGGCTACCTCTACGATTGGCTGCGCAGGCCGGGCAGTCGCTCGATGGTCACTGGAGCAGCTTAGTGAGTGCCCTTGGTGCCCTCCGTCAGCAGCGGAGACACACGGGCGGAATCAAGGCCGCAACGTGGCGGCGGCCGCCATGTCTGGTGGGTCACGCTGCCAGCTCCACTGCTGTGGCATGCTGGAGCCGATTCACATCCGACAACCGCCATTGGGTCCATCGTTTACCACCCAAGACCGCCCCGCGATCCCACTAGGCCTGAACCTCTCCAAGCTGAGATGCATGCCCACGCTGCACTTAAATCTCTCCAGTGCTCCCCCCCGGCCCGATGCTGGAGACGCGCTTTTACGAGCTGAAGGAAAACAGAAACAAGTCCCCAGAATGGTGCAGAGGTATGCGGACGTGAACCCGCCGACGCCTCCAACATACGAATGCCTACTTTGAGTCCAACAAGTGTGTCCGGGCTGCAAAAGTACCGTGTCCGTGTTTGCCTGCTGAGCACCATGACTTACACCAACCAACCAGCCCACCAAACTCCTTGGCGCATGCCCCCAAAACGTCGACTCGTAAAAGCCTGTCGGCCGCCGCCATCATTTCTGCATCAAATGTCTCTCAACCTCCTGGCGGCCGCTGTCATCCCATCTCATCGGGGAAGGCAGGCAGGCAAAAGAGCACACCGAAAGTCTCAGAAGAAACATCCCGCCTCGAGAGCGTTACATTCCTCATGCCCATCTGTTGGCTGTGCGATTGCTGGGTAACATGACGCAGCATGGTCCTATTTCAAGGTGCTTCCAAACCGCCTTCTCCCGAGACCCTCTGCCGGGGGCTGATGGCTCGTCGTCGTCGATCACTCGTTTCACGACATGTGGCCTCCTTCCTAACCCTCGAGGATCGCTGCCTCCGTTCATCCGTCACCCCAGTTCAGAAATATAGAGGGGGAGGAGATTCGCTGCCCATCTCCCCCCCCCAAAAATCGAGATCCCTAGCAACACGTGGATAACGTGCGTGAGAGCAAACCTGCTCAGGGCCAGGGTCTCCTTTAACTCCTAGTCCCTCCCCTCCCTCTCTCGTAAACTCCTAGCGCATTCACGGGTATCATTACCTATTTGCTTTTGAGTGCTGACTGACATGCAACGTGCTGCGGATAGTTCGGCTGCAGTAACCAAAAGTCAAAGAGGCTTTCGACGGCCGCCATGGATCTCACGATGGGCCTTACGCACACTAAATTATCAACTGATTTGCGCGGGAGAAAACAGGCCATATCCCAGACTAGGTAGGATAGCTAGCACAAGCACCTACGCGTGCGCTCTGTGGCTCTAAACAAACGTCCGCAGTCTCGTAGCGTCTTTCATCCGACCACGCGGCGCTAGGATGCGCCAGCTGCCACAAAAGACATGCTCCGACGACTGCAAACTGTTGGTGCGCACTCGGATCTTTCTTCTTCAGTCGGCTGCTCCCATCATGAGTGCGCACTGTTGCTGTCAAAGTCAGAAAGTCAGGTCATTTCGTCAGGTAGAGTAAGTATCATGTTGCGCCACGTCTCCGTGACTCGGTCGTATGTATTATGCTAGGTATGCAATGCTATGGGTGACGAACACCACTACCCATGTTCAAATCTCCTTACACCACCGCGCCAGCACGTTATTCAGCTTGACGCCTACCGGAATCTCTTCCAGCGCCATGTCAACCTTCCACATCTTGCCTTCCAGGCCGCCGTAGCCAGAGGCTCGCCCGGTGCCTAGGCCCGCGGGCACCAGCAGACTCAGAGACACCAGCCGCTCCCACGCCGTGCCGGCGACGCCGCGACCCCATACCCGCACTCCGCCTCCGAGGGCGAGCATGCCCGAGCTAGCCGACTGCACGCGCTGCCGGCCCATCAGGGAGCTGTACTCGTCGTACGCCATGGCGAAATTGACCGTGTCTGTGTGAGCCACGATATCCAGGCGTGCTGCGGCGATGAGCAGCCCCAGGTCCAGCTCTGAGAGCGAAGACAGGATATGCAACTTGGAGTTTGGTGGTCTTAGGGAGACCGCTGACCCAGCCGGGGGCGGGAGGACCAGGTCTGGGGCTTCGAGCGATAGCGAGGACAGCGGGAGGATGCATTCCGACCAAAACGCCGATACCGATTTTGATGTCGCATAGTGGCACTGAAGGAGATTCTGGAATGACTTCTCTTTGCGCAACACCTGGACACGGGTTAGTTGCGTGCTTCTCAACCTCGCTGGTTCGCTTACCTCGATCATCGCATTCCAATTTGCATAGAAGGCTTCGTGTCCCTCGACGCTGACATCGATCCCCTCCGCTTCCATGTCTTCTTCGTCAACCGTAAGGCCTTGCTTGCACACGTTCCAGTACGCTGGCAAACTCTTCGGCATAGACAAGTAGACATATCGATGGCTGAAACGACTCTTGACGCGCTTTTCCAGCATTTCCACAACATCCATCCGTGTCGTGCAGCCCAACACCGCAATGGGGGCTTTCCGTGCTTGCGCGATATCAAACAGATTGTAGAGCAGGGTCTGGCGCGGGTGAGCAGCAAACATGTCAAACTCGTCAATGACGAAAATGACAGCCTGCGACGTCACCCCCTCTTCCGCCTGAGCCATTTCTGACGGGTGGGAGAGGAGCGCCAGCAGCGAGGCCATGGTGTCGGCGTAGTTGGCCTGGTATTGAATTAGAGACCTCTCCATCTTTGAGCAGTTCGACGTGGACCTACCCGAGCCGTGATGTCGTCTTCGGCATCCATCTCCTTGCCCAGCTGGCGCCATATCTCCTTCAGAGCCAACTTGTCATCCGTGTGGATGAAGCCATTGAGGCGCACCACATGGAACTCCTTCTTGTATTGTAAAGACAGGTCGCTGACAATGCTCTCAACAAGCTGGGGATGTCAGTCTTCTTCTTGGGTGATGTTCTTGCGTTGCTTACCGTGGTCTTGCCGCATCCCCTGGCTCCGATCACCAACATCGAGTTTCCCTCTCCTGCAAGCACTGTCTGCTCCACCAGCTGGTGTGCTTTCTCATATGCCTCATCCTGATCAATCAACTTGATCCGTCGGCGCCCCGTACACCTATCGAGCAGCACTCTCTTCATGCTGTTCAGGTGTTGGGCGAAGTTAGGAATCTTGGCCACCTCACCAGCCGCTAAAACCCGAGATTCCTTTTGCTGAACACAATCGTCACAGTACCAGTCGCCCTTGGGAACCTTCGGGACATTGTGGCACTTTTGGTGATAGCACCGATCACATCCATCGCAGAACAAAATCTTGTTTCCCGCCTTTGAGTCTGGCTTCGAACAGACGACGCAGATATCTTCATCTTCCGATTCCTCCTCTTCTTTGGCAGGCCCTCCCTCGACCTCGAGCTCAGGTTCCTCTTCCTCGTCTTCTTCCACCGGCTCCTCCTCAACCGCTTTGTGGGCCGGCCTTCGTGGTTTTGTCGTACTCGCAGCCTTGGGCGTCGCCTTTCCCGGGGTCTGCTTACTTCGTCCAGACTTTGTTGGCAGATCCTCAAAGAACACCTCTTCCTTGCTTTGTTCGTTATCAAAAGCAACGCTCTTGCTTCTCCTTGGTGTCCCGTCCCTTTTCGACGGCGTCAAGATGCCCTTCAACGGCATGGAAACGTTGCGAACCGCCTTGCCGGTTGCCTTTTTCGTCTCCTGGACATCGTCGGCCGCTGACGATGTCGCGCGGGACACTGGTGTGCCGGAACGGATCCCTCCCAGCTGCTCCTCCAACACTTTGGCCGTTGGTATCCTGCGCCTCCCACTGGCGCGCG